GCCTCAGCCTCCCAAGTAGCTGGGACTACAGGCGCCCGCCACAACGCCCGGCTATTTTTTGGTTGCAGCCATTATTGTTGTTTGGCGGGCCCGGGCTGGATTTGAACCCGCCCCCTTAGGTGTATGTGGCTGGTGCCTTAGTCGCTTGAGCCAAAAGCGCCGAGCCTATGTTGAAGTCTTAATCATCAGTACCTTAGAATGTGACCATATCTGGAGGTAAGGTCTTTAAAGGGGTAGATAAGGTACAATGAGGAGATTAGGATGGGCCCCAATTCAATATGACTAATCAAAAGAGGAAGTTTGAATGCAGACATGCACAGAGATGGCCGTGTGAAGACCCAGAGAGAAGGTGGCCATCTGCCAGCCACCAAGGACAGAGGCTACAGAAGAAACCAACCATGCTAAAGGCTTCATCTTGGACTTTCAGACCCCAGAACTGGAGAAAAGTAAATTTCTACTGTTGAAGCCACTTAGTCAGTGCTACTTTGTTATACAGGCCTCAAAAGCACGAAACCCAGCCAGGTGTGGTGGTTTACGCCTGTAATCCCAGCACTTGGGAGGCCTGAGTGAATTGCCTGAGCTTATGACCAAGAGCAAGACCCCGTCTCTAAAAAGAAATGGCTGGGCATTGTGGCAGGTGCCTGTAGTCCTAGGTACTTGGGAGGCTGAGGCAGGAGAATTGCTTAAGCCCAAAAGTTTGAGGTTGCTGTGAGCTCTCTACCAAGGGCAACAAAGTGAAACTCTGACTCAAAAAAAAAAAAAAAAAAAAAAAAGGCAGCGCCCTATGGCTCAAAGGAGTAGAGCGCTGGCCCTATATGCCAAAGGTGGAGGGTTCAAACCCAGCCCCGGCCAAAAACTGCAAAAAAAAAGAAACCATCCTATGGTAGGTACATTCTTTGTGACTGAGCTCAATGAGAGGCAGTGGTAGGGGCCAACGGACACTCACAAACCTCCCAGGGCTCACCTCAGGTTCTGGAGTCTGCACCCAGGGTGTCTGAGGCCTTGGCAGAGCAGCTTCACCCCTTGGCTTCCCAGGGCATTGCGGTACAAGCCCAGCTCTACCAGATCAGGGTTGGTGCATAAGGCCGCAGCCAGGTGTTGACTGTAGGCATCAAGTAGAACGTTCCTCTCTGGTCTGCATGAAGGAAAGACAGGCCAGAGACTAGTTTTACTGGTTACTATACAGTAATTACATTTGGGCTGAGTGCGATGGCTCACACCTGTAATCCTAGCATTCTTGGAGGCCAAGGCCAGTGAATCGCTTGAGTGCAGGAGGTTGATACCAGCTGGAGCAAGCGGGAGACCCCCCCCATCTCTACTAAAAAAAATAGAAAAACTGGCTGGGTTCATGGCAGCTACTCAGGAGGGTGAGGCAAGAGGATCAGTTGAGCCCAGGAGTTATGACACCGTGGCACTCACAGAGTGAGACTCTGTCTCAATAAAAAAATGTTTTGCATTTGTATGTCACTTCATAATTTACAATGCATTTCATTATCTTTATTTTACTTTTTTTTTTTTTTAGAGACAGAGTCTCACTTTGTCACCCCTGGTGGAGTGCTGTGGCATCACGGCTTACAACAACCTCCAGCTCTTGGGCTTAGGTGATTCTCTTGCCTCAGCCTCTCAGTAGCTGGGACTACAGGCACCGGCCACAACGCCTGGCTATTTTTTTTGTTGTTGCAATTTGGCCAAGGCCTGGTTTGAACCCGACACCCTCAGTATATGGGGCCAGTGCTCTAGTCACTGAGCCAAAGGCCCCACCCACTTATTTACCTATTTATTTATTTTTTTTTATTAAATCATAGCTGTGTACATTAATGCAATCATGGCGTACAATGTACTGGTTTTATATACAATTTGAAATGTTTTCATCAAACTTTTTTTTTTTTTTGTCGCCCTTGGTAGAGTGCCGTGGTGTCACACCTCAGAGCAACCTCCAGCTCTCGGACTTAGGCGATTCTCTTGCCTGAGCCTCCCAAGTAGCTGGGGCTACAGGTGCCCACCACAATGCCCAGCTACTTTTTTGTTGCAGTTTGGCTGGGGCTGGGTTTGAACCCACCGCCCTCAGTATATGGGGCCAGCACCCTACTCACTAAGCCATAGGAGCCACCCTATTTACTTATTTATTTATTTATTTATTTTGGTTGCAACTGTCATGGTTGTTTGGCAGGTCTGGGCTGGATTTGAACCCGACACCTTAGATGTACGTGGCTGGCACCGTAGCCACTTGAGCTACAGGTGCCAAGCCTATTTATTTATTTATTTATTTATTTTTGAGACAGAGCCTCAAGCTGAGCCCCTGGGTAGAGTGCCATGGCTTTACTGCTCACAGCAACCTCCAACTCCTAGGCTCAAGCGAGTCTCCTGCCTCAGCCTTCCAAGTAGCTGGGACCACAGGCGCCCACCACAACACCTGGCTATTTTTTGGTTGCAGCCATTATTGTTGTTTGGTGGGCCCAGGCTGGATTCGAACCTGCCACCTTAGGTATATGTGGCTGGTGCCTTAGCCGCTTGAGCCACAGGCGCTGAGCCTATTTACTTATTTTTAATAGGCTTCAGCAAGATTGCATATCTTTCCTTTTTAATTTTTTTTTTTTTTTTGAGACAGAATCTTATTCTGTCACCCTGGCTAGAGTGCTGTGGCATCATCATAGCTTAAGCAACTTCAAACTCCTGGGTTCAAGTGATCCTTTTACCTCAGCCTCCTCAGTAGCTGGAACTACAGGTGCTCATCACAACATCTGGCTAGTTTTCCTATTTTTAGTAGAGATGGGTCCTGCTCTTGCTCAGGCTGTTCTGGAACCCCTGAGCTCGAGACATTCTCCCACTTCTGCCTACCAGAATGCTAGGATTACAGATATGATCCACTGCACCCAGCCCACTTAATAATATTTGTTGGTTGACCTAATTCTCCTTAACATAGATCCCAACTTAATCCCAGAGAGTGTCATTCTCTGTTGTGGGAGACAGCCCTGTCACTGTAGGATGTTTTGCAGAACATAGGCCTCTACCCATTAGGTGTTGGTAACAATGGCCCTGCTTCCCAACTGTGGCAGCCAAAAAATATCTCCAGATACTGCCAAATGTGTCTTGGGGAGAAAGGGCAGACTCACCCCTAGTTGAGAAACTCTGGTTAAAAGTTTGGAAAGCCAACCCCAGTGAGGACTCACGACTGCTCCACCAGCGCCTCGGTCCCCGGCGTCCACCCTGCCCCAGGGTCTTCGTCAGTGCTGTAGGTGTCCCCATGCAGGTGCAGCACCAGGGCACTCCTGCAGTTCTTCACGCAAAACGAGGAAACCATGTGATCCATCTTGGAGGTGATGTTGCTGACCACCACCACTTGGAAGTGACTCAGGGCCCGTTGGATAAATTCCTCCTCCTGGATCTCGTACAAACAGCTGAACAACTCCAAGGAGCCCTGCTGCAGGGTGGAGCCCTCACTCTGGGCTTTGCTTTGGATCCAGTCCAGGAGTGCCACCTTGATGTCAGGTGAGACCTTCCAGCAGAGATTCTTCTCCAGGTAGCTTCTTGTCTCCTCGTTCAGGAGTCCAAACAGGAAGCGGACAGTGAGTGCCAAGAAGCTCCTTTCTGAAAACGCATATTCTGCCAACAGCCTGGTCAGGCTGTGTTCTGGGCCCACCCCATGCTCCCCACCATCCAGGATGTAGTACATGGCCGCAAAGAATTCCTGGAAACTCAGGTGGATGAAGCTGTAGTACTTCTCGCAGTTGATATCCTTCTGGAAGATGTTCATATTGAGGAAGGCTGAGACATCGGCTATATCCAGGCCATGTTTCCAGAGGTCCTGCTCCTCAAATAGGATTTTCTGATTCCAGAGGCCATCTGCGGCCAAGGAGCACAGCCCTCGGAGGGATGGGGTCCCGGGCGTGGGTTGCATCAGACTCAGAAGGTAGAGCATGTACACTGCAGTGGTGGTCCTGGACGTCTGTCTTAAGAGCCCCCCGCCCTCCAGCTGCTGCTTCAGGCAGGTGCAAACCACCCAGCACACTAAGGGGACAAAACACATGGTGAAGAGGGGCTCGTTGTCCCTTACGAAGTTGAAGACCTGGCTCGCCTGCTCGGCGTTGTGGAAATACTTGTGGAAATACTCCTTCCTTTCTGCCTCGGAGAAGCCCAGGATCTCCACATGCCTGGGGTGCTGGAGCAAGCGGTGGAGCTTCGGCAAGGCCGTTGGCCGCGTGGTGATGAGCAGAGACAGCTCCGGGAGTACCTTCTTCCGGATCAGGCTGCTAAGGAGAAGCTCCACGGGCCGTTTTTCCTCCCAGCAGAGGCACCAGGGTCCCTGAGGGTCGTGGAAAGAAGGCTTGAGCTCGTCGAAGCCGTCAATGATGAATAGGAGGCGCTCTGGAGTCTGGACCAGCTCCCGGAGGGGCGCGCCGGGCTCGGGCCAGCAGCTGCAGAGGAGGTCCCGCGCGCTCTGCTGGGTGGCGCTCTGGTTCATCTCCCTGCAGTTGATGTAGAAGACGTAATCAAAGCGGCCCTGGAAGAGCTTCCCGTCCGCCCAGTCCAACATCACCTTGTGCGCCAGCATGGACTTTCCCATCCCCGCTGCTCCCTGCAAGACAACGGTGCGCGGTGGCTCAGGACGCTCCTCGTCCGGCTCAAAGAGGGTCTCCATCTGGATGGGGCTGGCTTGGTGTCCCACGGTTCTCGCGTGTCCCCAGCCTATGTCCAAAAGCTTCTGCTGGGCCCACATGGGAGTGGAGTGTTCCTTTACCAGGAGGAGCCGCGTGTACCGGTGGCTGAGGTTGACGCACTCTCCCAGGCGCGCGTTGCGGTCTTCCATCAACCGGAACTGCCTGCGCACGTGGTCCCGGTACAGTTCCTGGGGACCTGAGGGACAAGAAGGAGGGATAGTGGAAGACTTATCAACATTGCGGATGAATTCGTGAATTAAAGCTAAGCACGTGGGCTCGGTGCCTGTGGCTCGAGCGGCTAAGGCGCCAGCCACATACACTGAGCTGGCAGATTCGAATCCAACCCGGCCCGCCAAACAACAATGACGGCTGCAACAAAAAATAGCCGGGCATTGTGGCGGGCACCTGTAGTCCCAGATACTTGGGAGGGGGATGCAGGAGAATCCTCGATCCCTGGAATTGGAGGTTGCTGTGGTGATGCCACGGCACTCTACCCAGGGTGACAGCTTGAGGCTCTGTCTCAATTAAAAAAAAAAAAAGCTAAGTATGTGCCTACTTGTCCTGCAATATCCTTGAAACAGTTTTCTAGATGGAGCCCAAGAGCCTGAGTCCTTCTTTGTAAGGCTTTTCTCTTCTCTATTTCTCTCTCTCTCTTTTTTGAGACAGTCTCACTTTTGTGGCCCTCAGTACAGTGCTATGGCCTCATAGCTCACAGCAACCTCGAACTATTGGGCTTAAGCAATTCTTTTACCTAAGCCTCCCAAGTAGCTGGGACTATAGGCACCCGCCACAATGCCTGGCTATAGTTAGAGAGAGAGGTCTCGCTTTGGCTCAGGCTGGTCTCCAACTCATGAGCTCAGGCAATGCACCAGCCTCAGCCTTCCAGAGTGCAAGACACCACGGCCCGCCCAGCCTGGCTTTTCCCTTTTCTTGGGACACGGAGGCATTAACAAGGTCCTGTTCCCACGTGCAGCGCTGCATGCTACTACTCAACGGGTGGTGTGTGTGGCGGAGCCTGTAGCTCAGTGAGTAGGGCAATGGCCACATACACCGAGCCTGATGAGTTCCAACCCAGCCCAGGACAGCTAAACAACAATGACAACTGCAACAGAAAAATAGCCAGGCTAGCTCTGTGCCTGTGGCTCAGTGGCTAGGGTGCCAGCCATATACACCAGAACTGGTGGGTTCAAATCCAGCTGGGGCCTGCCAAACAACCATGACAACTACAACCAAAAAATGGCCGGGTGTTGTGGCGGGCACCTGTAGTCCCAGCTACTTGAGAAGCTGAGGCAAGGGAATCGCTTAAGCCTAAGAGTTTGAGGTTGCTGTGAACTGCAATGCCACAGCCCTCTACCGAGGGCAATATACGAAGAGCCTGTCTGGAAAAATAAAACAAAACCAAAAACAAAACACCAACCAACCAACAAACAAACAAATAAAAAATGGTGGTCTGTGGAAGATAGGCATTAGGTTGGAAATGTGAAATCTTTCCCTTCCTTCCTTTATTTTTCTCTGTTTTTTCTTTTTTTCTCTTTTTCTTTCTCTCTCTCCTCTTCCTTCCTTCCTTCCTTCCTTTTCCTTCTTTCTTTTTTTTTTTAAGAGATGGCATCTCACTCTGTTGCCCTGGCTAGAGTACAGTGGCATCAGCCTAGCTCACAGCAACCTCAAATTCCCGGTCTCAAGCAATCCTCCTGCTTCAGCCTCCCAAATAGCTGGAGCTACAAGGGCCCACCACAACACCTGGCTAGTTTTTTATTTTTAGTAGAGACAGGGTCTGACTCTTGCTTAGGCTGGTCTCGAACTCATGACCTCAAGAGATCCTTCGCCTGTCCTGTTCCAATGGACACAGCTGCTCAGAGCTTCCAGAGTGGTAGTCGTCAGGTTTTTTTTTTTTTTTTTTTTTTTGAGATAGAGCCTCATGCTGTCGCCCTGGGTAGAGTGCTATGGCATCATAGCTCACAGCAACCTCCAACTCCTGGGCTTAAACAATTCTCTTGCCTCAGCCTCCCAAGT